GATGAATCTCCCATTGGTTCACAACTCCAAATTAGAGAGGTCGCCAATAATGCCGAGCATGGAAAGCCTTCTTTAGTTTAACAATGCTTATATCCCCAATCCAAACTCTACATATTTCAGCTCACTAATGCTTACAAAAAATAAAAAATAGTACCCTGACTTTGGAACTTGAATCTGCAAACATGGTGTCTAACTAAAAATCAGAGTCATGGTCAAGATAAAGGAGCACCTCCTGAACGAGAGGGGTGGCTAAAAGCATCAGACCACCAAAACATCCCATAGCACACAGTCCAACAGCGAACCATCTCCTGAACCTAATTATGTAGTGTATATATGAACCTAAACTACATGACATAAGCTGAAGAACAACATGAGCATGCAGGTCCAACTCTGTGAAATAGCAAACAAAAGGCCCAGAAAATTCACCTCCAGAGGAGGTCTCCGAGAAGCATCAAGTCGCCATCCTTGTCTCCATTCCGCTCACCGCCACGAGACTCATATCCTGGTACCCACCCTGCATCCAAGAGCCAAATCGTCAGAAACCCACCAGAAGACCAACGCATCACGTGCTCGTCTCTGCTGCTATTGAGTACATGAACAGGATATGTTCTGGGCTACAAAGAACTATTAACTTTTTAGGAATTTTAAGCAACGTTATAGAAGCTGAAATACACCCAGATATATTTCAACAACAGGTTTATGAGATTATGTTGTGCCTTTTCTTATCTATTTGTCACAATATATTATATAATGGGTACATGCTATCTGGAACATGAAAGACAAGGGAAATTTAAAGGGGTCAACTGTTATACAATACATATGTACCCAGAGCCATTAACTTAAAAGGGTCAGTATATTTTCTACACTATGCTTTGTGAAATTAACTCTTTTATGTACCTCCCTCACAAACATTCACGGTTACCAAATCTAGATGATTTTTATTTGAACTATTAGAACTGAATACCAAGAGCATACATGCTTCTTACTTTGCAACCTTAGCTAAACATAGTGGAGAGAATACGAGGAGTGCTGTTAGGAAAAAAATTAAGTTAATAACTGTCCCAGCAGTTTCCATCAGATTAACATTAAAACTCATCTAAAAGTAAGAAATAGCGGGCCAAATGTGAACTGCATTACAGAACAAGGTTTTAAATTGCGCAGTTCGATAAAAGTAAGTTAAATGATGTGTGCTCTATGGTATGCAGATTGTTTCATCCTTAGAAATTTTAATGTAAAATCAGGCTATCTGCTAGCATAAAGGTGGCTTTTAAATATTAGAATGCGACTTCAAAGTGGAAGTAAGTATGAACCCATAGAAAATCAGTAATTCACCACTACCCAACCATAAACAGAGAGGAAGTAATATGAGCTGAGATCTCCGATGGCATAAAAAAATTTAGAGCATATTTGACATATCATTTTGAAGTTAAAAATAGCAAATAAGCTACAGCCAAGAAAGAACACAATAAGTAGCTAGAGAGTATACACTACTTTGTAATAGGAGAGAAGGTAATTTACCCGGCAAGGTATTGTCACTGATTCCAACATGAAAAAAGGAAGAAAACTGGGATAATCCCAGCCACATCTGTCCATA